AAAATGTTTTTTGTTGAAATTATTATTATTATTATTATTATTATTATTATTATTATTATTATTATTATTATTATGATCTGGTCTTCGCTGGTGGAGTTGTTGCTGCCCTCTTTGAATTGTGGCTAGGTCTTGTGGCATCTCCATTACAAGATTGATTGTGGCCGTGGGCTCAAACGAGTCGAGCTCGAGCTCGCAGATATTGAGCCGGGTTTGGCTCGTTAAGGCTTAAAAGAGACCTTTTATAAAATTTTATGTTGTTTGACTCGTTAATATTGATAAGCAAGTTGAATTCGAACTCGATTACCAACTCGTTAGTTAACGAGTCAAGCTCGAGTATCATGAGCTCGAGCTTGATATGATGTGATCGACCTGTCGAATAAATACGGTGTTGTGATTGTGGTGATCAAGGATATATGTATCGTGATCGTGGCATTAGGATACAAACACCGGATATTGATATGAGACATGAGGAATTGGGAAAATGAACCACGCAAATTTTGTTTTTCCATCACAAATTGATAAATTTTAATGGACTTTTCATCACTCTGAGAGCTATGATTATTTCTATTTATCATCCAAACCAAGAATGCAGATGAGTCGAGCGAGCAGAGCAATTGTCTAATCAAGCAATGTTCATTTTTCTTTTTTATTTTAATGTTCATTTTTTTTTTCTTTTTTTTTTTTTGATTGAGCTCCAGATCAACGAGAAGGAAATTTAGCATGCTTGGATATAAAAATTTTTGGTTTTGATTGGATTTTTTGGTTTGGGTTAGTTAAATTTGAAAGAATTGGTATGGTTAGTTGTTAGTGGGTAAATTAAAATAATATTTAAAATAAAATAATTAAATTAATTTGATGTAAAAGTAAGAGAGAGAAGATGTGATGTGATGGTTAGTTAAAATTATGTGAGTTGATGAATAGTGAATTAAGGTTGATGTTGTGTATAAGAATGATTGATTGATATTATTTAATTATATTGATAAAATTAATGATAGTGGAGTTGAGTTAAAGTTGAGTTAAAAAAAAGTGGTTGGGTTAAAAATGATTGGATATTTTAGATTGATTTTATATCCAAGCTTAAGGCTCAGCTCAACATAAAAAACATAAAAATGATCGAGATCAGTTGAAAATACATCTCAACTTTTTCAATAAATGTGACACGTATCACTTGAATTTTCCAGAGGATGATACGATGGATTAGTTTATCATGAATATTATTAATATAATTAAATAATATCAACCAATCATTTTTACATATTACATCAACCTTAATTCACTATTCATCCACTCACATAATTTTAACTAATCATCACTTCAAATCTCTCTCTCATATTTTTACATCAAATTAACTTTAATTATTTTATTTTAAATATTATTTTAATATATCCACTAACAACTACCTATACAACTAACTATACGACAATTTTTAAAATTAATCAAGTTAAACTAAAAAATCCAAACCAATCCAAAAATTTTTATATCTAACCATCCTCCAAACACTTTGAATTTTCCAAACAATCAATTCATTATAGTGTTCATTATATCCAGCAGTCGGCTTATATCCATCCACGTGTCCCCTACTTTTACAGATTCACAACTTTTGCATCCCCAAATCAAAACCATCCACCAACTGTCCAGTCAACACCAAATATCTCAATATTTTCTCCGGAAAAAAANAACAGAGCACGTACGGAGAGAGAGAAAAAATGGCGGACGGCGATGCTAAGGAGCAGCCTAACGGATCCCTGGACGCGGAGGATGTTGGCGGCGTTGAGGATGGGAAACAGGACCCGACGCTTTTCACGGTTCTCAACAGTCTGATCGCCGCGGTTTTCTTTCCCGATCCGAATTCGCCGACTCCTCTGCTTCAGAGGATAAAATCCTCGATCTCGGAGAATGTTCCTCTGCTTCGAGAGGCCTCCAGGAACACCGGCCGCCGTGTTCTCGACTGGGCACGCCGTGGCAGCCCTTTTCGCGCCCTCCTTGTTGTTTCCGTGAGTGTCGCTTTACTCGAAATGGTTAAATTTTACTTTCTGTAATTGTGATCTTGGATATTTTGTTTTTGGCTTCTGTTTTGATTTTTCACTATTGGGGCATGTGGTGACTGTAAATACTAAATAGTAGCTTTTTTATCTTCGAATTGCAGTGGGTCTGCATGCTTCTTGTGAGTTGGATTGAATATATTGTGGTTTTGTCCTACTAATTAGGTTTGGATTTTTAGATTGGAAAAGGAGACCGTGTCTGATAGCTAAGTTTTCTACCATCTTCGTATAGCCAAATGCTGCGTTACAAGTTTGCTGTTGCAAAGCTTTTTGAGAGTGTGTTGTCTGAAATGGTAATATGGTGTTCCATCTGAAGTGTTCTATTGCTATTGGCACCGAAAGGGCTAAGAGTTTTTATTTCGGCATGCTTGAAAGAACACAACTGATGTGTCGTAATTGTATTGGAGTTTTACTTTGGTAGCATTTATTCAAGGGACTAAATTGGAAAGAGTTAACATATATTGTATTTACCTCATGGGCCTCCTCCCACACCATCAGGGCCCTAGCAGACACTCTAATGTTATTAGTTTTTATGTGGTTTATAATAATTTTCATTCCAGGGCTTAGTAGAAATTATTGGGTTGCTGAAGATTATTGTTTTATGAAATTCTCTCATGATTTCTATCTTTGCATAGAGGATGTGCAGAAAAGAGCAACGCCGTGGTTTTTACTCTCTTTCGTTTTTTATTTTTTTGGTTCAATTTTTGAAAAGAAGTTGATATGTTCTCATGCAAGCAAAACATTGATGCTGATATGAGGGAGCTGCAACTTGCAAGGTCTCAATTTGCTAGAAAATAGTTTAAGAGGCTGCGAGATATATGATCCTGATCATCTTATGTGTGCTTGTACTTCTTTCTTGCACATGGGTCTTATATAAACCTCATTTCCTTCCCTCATTTTTCGTAAAGCAATGTGTACAATAATACTGGTCATACATTAAGTTTGAAACTTCTATTCTAGTTTTCTCCAATGGAGTTTCCATATCTTTCTATTTTTCCTAAATACTTGTGATTGCTACAGGTTGGAACAATTGGTCTTCTTGTCTTGACAGGATTGCTGGTCTTTATGCTTTTCTTTGCTGCGGCCACCATGAACGCTGTCATCATCTCTCTTTTAGTCTCTCTAGCGGCAGCTGGAGGATTCTTGGCTCTATTCTTTGCCTGTGTTGCTGCCATTTACGTTGGGGCATTGACGGTGGCTTTGTTTGCCATCTCCACAGTCACAATATCAGCAGTTATTGCTGTCCTTACTGTTGCAGGTAATTTTTTCCCATTATTTTTTATTTTGAGCTGAGCAGAGCTACTCTATTTGGAGCTTTTTTTATTTTTTTTTATTTTTTATGTAGAACGGACATTCTTTAATAGTTTTATTTGCTGAAGAAAATTAATGTAGAAGCCAAATTCCGAAGAGAGCGCCTCTTTGCAACAGTGAGAGCATGGTCATAGAAACGAGTATAGTTAGATTGTTGAAATACCTTACCCTGGAGTAAAATGGGTTTTTATACCCTCCTGGGGCAGGATGAGGACTTAATGTTTGATCCTTACCCACATGCGATTCGTGACACTATAAGTATCGTATGCAACAAATAAAATTTGAAATTTAAGATTGTTCTGATATTCTCAAATCTCAATACATGCATCCTCGGCCAGATGAGTTTTATTTTTGTTCTCTTTATGTACCTGTTATTGGAGGGCCTTCAAGAACTAAGAAATCTTAATGAGGTTCTGTAGAAAAATTTCAGCCCGTCGATAAATAAAAAAAATTGAAAACTTATCCCCACCCCCCCTCCCCTCCCCAAAATAGATAAATTAATAAATAAATAATTCCTGAATTCTAGACATTTGGTACCATGTTTATCCAGTGAACATAAGATGAGAGGATATTGAGCAGTCTTTTCTTGGGTTTTACATATTTTTTCTGTATAGTGTAACATTAGATTTCCAATACTAATTTGTCATATCCCAAAATCAGGTTGGATTGGTTTCTTTTGGACCTTGTGGCTAGCGGCAAGGAAAGGCATAAGTGTGGCCAAGCATTCAGTTACAATGACTGGATCGGCTGTTTCGGCTTACTCAACCGCTTGGCAGGCCAGGAACCAAAACATATCTAGTAAGTTGGATTGACTGATTATTATATTACGCGTACTCAATGTAATGAGTTGTATGCCGTGTGGTCGTCTATACTCGTTTGCCCGTCCCTACAAATAAACGATGCTGCTTTTGCCCGAGTAGTTGAATCTTTCGTTTTGTTTGTGACAGCAAGTTGAATGCACTATAGGTTAGGAGTACGTTGGACTGTGTTCTTGTAGTGTGCAGTTCTTCTCTTCGACAGTGCTTTTATATTTTGATAGTGTGAAATGAAATGAAATGAAATGAATGTTTTTTACTGTGATATATATACCTCGAGCAATGCATTGCAGTTTCTACATTTTTTTTCATTATGTTTTCGGTAAATGTAATATTGAATGATATCAATTGTTCACCACCATTTGAAGTGAATATCCTGTCAAGATGTAATGAAATTCTGACAAGTAGCATTACAAAGGGTTATTCCCTGTTTCATTTGGTATTTCATTCTATTTTGGTGTTACATTCCGCTGTGGTAAACCCATATTTTTCCCCTTTTTCTTTTCTTTTTTTTTTTAATTAGAAAATAGATGAATGTTTTCCAAGTTTGTGAACTATGAAAAGTAGTCTCCATGGGATTATGATTCCGTGAAAAACCTATAAGTATGTGATTAAGCTGACCTGAATCTATAATTTTATTTTATATGTTTCACGGGCAAGAAAGTAGTCTATACGAGATTTTGATTTGTGAAGATTCATAGTCTTGAGTATATAAATCAGCTGATCCGAATCTCTTGAACATTTCTATGATTTTCTGAGTCTTAGGTTCAGTACAGGAAAGTTCGCAGCACTTTCTAGGGACAAAACTAAAATAAATCTCTTACACGAACTAGTCTCACAAAATCCAATTGAGTTTGATACTACAAAGATTCTTCAATGGTGAAAATTGAACGAAGACAAAATTCGTAAATAGCATTTGGATTCTCTTAAAGAAACTGCCAATAAATGGTTGAACTACTCACGTGTTAAGTGGAATAGGCTTTTTTCTCAAACAGCATCCTTTGTAATCTACCAAGTTTTTTCATCCACCGAGTTTTTAGTTTTCTCTACAGTGACACTATAGGCGGACGTCACACTTTGGGAGTTGGACATGAATGAATATATAAATTGTATCTTGTTAGTCCATACAAGGATTTTACAGTATTTCTTTTAATGGTATTAATCCTATCCATGTGCATAGGTTAATAAAAATAAATAAATATTATATATAAAAATCATAAAACAAAATTTTCCTTAATAGTATGTATCACATTTATAATCAAATTACATTAAAAACTCTTAGTCGAATTTTTATAATGTAGAATTTACCCTATACTAAATGACTACTATTATATGAATATAATAAATAACCTAATTTATGCCATTTGAATATTGTATTAATAATAAACATAAAAGTATTACCAAAGTAAAAAATAATAAATTTAAACTGGACAACGTAAATCTTATATACCAAAGTAAAAATATAGTTTTACTTAATAAACTAACAAAGAGTGCAATTGTATTAATTTTTAAGACATGACCGTTACAACTTTTATTAAATAATAGAATATTAACTACAACAATACAAATAAAATGATATGTGAAACATACCAAAAATAACTTAAAAAATGGGCGGGAAAAGTAGGCTATCCGCATTAATTGGATAGCCTACAATTATATATACTAGTATTCGACCTGTGCATTTGCACAGATATAAATAAATTATTGTAAGTCTGTACATATAATGATTAATTATTTTTCTTTCACTTTTTTGCAGACCAAATTTACAATTAAAAGAGTTGGAATATTTTTTTTTTAAATTGTGTTTATCTGATTGGATGTAATGTATTTTTTGGTACGTCTTTTATTTGTGAATTATTTATTATTTATTTAGGAATTTCAAATATATTTTTTATTTTCAAAAAAAAAAAATAAATGTAACAACAATAATAACATCTAATCACATTATACGGTCAGCACATTATATGGTCAACTGTCATTAATCAAAAGTTTAAAATGATTTTTGTAATTTTGAAGTGATGAGTATTAATTATTTAATGATTAAATGAAAGATTAAATACATCAAAATGTAACGGTTTTTGGAGGGAAAATTGTTAAATTGCCACATAGGTAAAATTAAATAAGTTTTATTAAATTCTATTAGTTAGTAACTATATTTATATAGATATAGATTATGTAATTTTAAGTAATAATTGCTTGGTTAAGAAACGTGTTCTCAGTCTATAACAAATGAAATCAACACGAAATAAGATCGTTATCATTTGAAAAATAAAACTAATTCCTTAATATGTTGGTCTTTTACTTTTCTTTTTCACTCTATTTTTCTGTTTTCCTTGGGTTAGGTAGATAACTAGGATACTTTAATTTAAGTTCCCATAACATCATCATTATGATTTTTATTGCAAAAGAAACTGCGAGGAATGTCATAAAAACCTTTACTGTAAGCTTTTTGGCTGCTCACCAAATTCCAGGATGAGGAAAAAGGAAATTTTTGGGGGCGTGAAGTGAAGGTATGTACCCTTGACATTCGGTAGGACCCAGTCTGGATGACCAGGCCCAGTTGAAAAATTCTTGAGATCCATACTATTAATTAGGATTTAGGCCCATTTCATATTTTGACCTCATCTTCCAAGACTGGATTTTCTTGGTGGTATAATTTTTTTTATAATACTTTTATAGAACACAAATCACCAAGGTTAGCCTAGCTCATTCCAAAATTGGGTCCATAACAACCTATTTTTGTGGGGAAATTACTTTTTTTTGTTCAAAATCATGTTTTAATTTATATTTTATTCTATCATATAATTGACAGGCACATAATTGTGACGAAAATATAACAAACTATGAATTGGAACTTGAGTTTGAATGAAAAATTTGTCCCATTTTAGTCCACTGAAATTTCAATTTTATGCTATTCAGATCCCTATAATTTGCATAGAGATTTACGCCGCACTTGCTGTATATGAGTTTTTGTAATTCTAATGGGTATCTATATTGTTGTATATGAGTTTTATATAATTGATACTAAAAAAAAAAAATATCCNAAAAAAGTACCGTAACAGCTAATTTGATTAAGGGAAAACGTTTTTTTTTCAAAAGTAACCAACCCTGAATCTACTCAATTCCCATTTCCTCCCACCTCCACTGATGACAAATTAAATCAAAGAATGATGAATTTTCCATTAAAAAAAAAAACATAAGTTTTTTACCACGGCTAATCAATAAACCGATGTAATAACCCTTCCCGTCGAGGTCTCCGATCTCAACATCACCAACCCTTTACCTCCACAATTCTTGCTGTTACGATTACTATTATTTCTCCTAACCGACAAAAATCTCGACCAAAATCCTCTTTTCCCGCCCGCGATCTCCTCCTCGTCTCTTCTCCTCCGCCACGCGAACGCCATCGACCGGCTCTTCCGGAAATCCGCCGCCGTGCCCGACTTTCCGGCGGGTGACGAGCACGAGGAGTAGGCGTTGGAAGAGGAGAGAGAGGAAACGTCCGACGAGGACGACGATGAAGGCCGGAAAGTTTTCCGGGCTCTCGATTTCCGGCAGTCGGCCAGGTTGGAGAGCTTTTCGTTTAGACAAAGGGAGCATACGCCGGGGGATTGCCGGTGTTTCGGGTGTTTCTTGCAGGCGGCGTTCGGTTTTGCTCTGGCGGCGGCTCTGAATCTCGGCTTTGAATAATCCATGTGTGTTTTCTATGTGTGTGTTTTTGTANTTGGGTATTATTTTTTGTGAATTAAGATGATGTCTTATATAGAGAAAATAAAAGAAGGGGTGTTTCCTTGAGGTTTCATGCGAGAGGGTATGGGTTCAAAAACGACTCTTTTGACGGTTTTTGTGTGGAAAAGTATTGTGTGTTTAAAAAAGGAAAGAGAGCTAAATGTGTTCGTGGGTTTTTTATTACCATTTTTTCCTTTTTTTATTTTTTTATTTTTTATTTTTTATCCAATCATAAACTTACATAATTGATTTAGTGTTTAATTACAATAAATATTTTGCATTTGAAAAATCTTGTAATCAATAGAAAAAACACTTGTTATAACAGAGTTGTTGACAAACGGATTCGATCAACAGATAACACTGAATTAGTGTTAATCATATTATGTTTATCCTGTTTTAATTCGGAATAATATGCCAAAAAATGCTTAAATATTGATGAAATACGAGGTCGGATTTTGGCATTTATGAGCTCGGATACGTGTATTAATGTTGTATTAAATGAGAGAATATATGTCTTGAGTTGGGAGAATTTTTGAATCCCCTGTACAATTGATTCCTATGACTATTTAAAGTAAGGAGGACCCGACGACTGTTCATTGGTAGTACATCATACATTAAATGGCCGTTGGGGAATATGATAAAATTTTATTTAAATTTTGATGGAAAATTAATTCCAACAAAAGCTACATCATTAGAATATCCATTAGATTTTCATTAGAATATATTACTGTAGGATTTTTCGTTGGAGTATGACATTCTTTTTGTAAAGTCAATTGTTAATTAATAATTTAATTAAAAATTTAACGTACGTATAATTAATGGTATATAGAATTGAAAGTTAAAAAAAAAAACAGATAGTATTTATAAGANATATATAATAATGATTCAAATCCTTATTTTAACTCAAACTTTTAAGTGGACTTTTTTATTAGAAAAAAAAAAATCCTCTGATCTTGTGATTTAATTAATTTAATTATTTAATTGTGTAAGATGTAAAATACTTTCTAAAAGTGGGTCGATTTAATTTCTGTGAAGCCGCGCAGCCTATGCTTTGTGGGGCGGCGTTGAAGTCACCGCCGCCCTATTCAACACCCCGGACCACCCTCCCCTCATACGACACATATATTTTATAACTTATCATATTTATAAATATATGTTTATTTACCATGTAATTATCTATTTCAATTGATATTATTCATATATACACATATCTATTCACCATGCAATGTGAGTTGATATAATTATACCTAGTCTCATTATCCACCTCACAATATGATTATTTTTCTAAAACAGTTGATCGATATAGTAGTCTTGTAGTATTAAAGTTAATTATCAAAATAAAGATTATTTTAGTTGGAAGTTTAGTTCTGTATTCAAAATTGACGTATGACATTAGATGACACGTCACCTATACATGGGTGTTATGAATTTTAGAAGTAATCACGTAACTCTGTAGATATTTCAAAAGTAGTCCCATTGAATTCATTCAATCAATACTGGTCTTCTAAGTTCTAATATACACCAATTTTAGTACAATTTTGATCGAGAATATTACAATTTTTGGCCTGAAAATGACATGATATACCCCCAAAATCTAATTTGTGGTCAATCCTATGGCGTCACGTGAAAATCAATATATAAAAAAATTCCTAAATTTTTTAAACTTAGAAGCTATAATTGATTAATTGGATTCCAGAGTGACTACATTTGAAACATCTATATAGTTGTGGGATTACTTGTGAAATTTTGTACAAGCACGTGGATGTGACGTGTCAGCTAAGGTGACGGGTCATTTCCGGCGACACACGTGGAATTCAAACAAAAGGTGTCCTTATTTTAATTGATTTTAAATGTTATGGAACCACTATTGAGCAATTGCATTTAGAGTTGATAAATGAAATGTGCCGCTCGTGAATTCGACTAGGCTCAGCTTGATTTGTTTGGTAAACTAGTTGAGTTCGAGCTCATATAAAGTTTGTTTGGATAGCAATATAGCTCGAAAAGTGATTTTTCATATAATTTTTTATAGTTTGATTCATTAAAACTCGATATCGGCTCGAGTCCAATTCGTTAATATTGATAAACAAGACAAACTTAAGTTTGATTATTAGCTCGTTAAACGAAGGGATTGGAATGATGGCTAAACATAAAGTTCATATTATCTAGATTAGATATATTTTGCCCATTAGGAATTTGATCTTAATCCCGCAACAATAGAAGTGAAAATGTACTTCTCTTTTGCCTTGTTGACTGTTACTAGTGTGTGGCCCGTGCGATGCACGGGAAAACAATATTACGAATGTATTATAAATTAAATATATAAATAACACTAATCATGAATTATCCATTGTTTTTAAATTAAACCAAGTTGGAACAGTCCGACTGGATGGATCGGGAATCGGTTTATAATCAGTCTAGTTCGCTTGAATAAAATATTTGCTCTCGAATCCGTCAACACCAGTCGGTTGAGCTGGGAGGATCGATACGATTTTCTAAATAAATTTTGTTATATTTAAAATTATTTTAAATAAATTTACATACTTAAATAAAATAGAGATTTATAAATTATTTATTAATTAGTTTAAACATTTGAATTTATATTTATATATCTAAGTAACACATTTTATTTAAATTTATTACAAAAAGTACTATATCTATATATATATATATTAAAAAATTTATAAATTAAAATCTGAACAAACTACAAATGAGTTAATAAAATAGCTTGATCGTTTCGATGACGGTCCAGTTCTGAACACCTTATATTTACTGTACATTAATAAATATTATAATAAAATATTATATAATTCACATAAATATTAATAAAATGATATATAAATATTCATAAATCATTAAAGATGTTATCATAAAAGTATTGTTAATACGATTATTTGATGTTTGGACTACATCACATTCACGTAATAAAATATTTTCAATATAAAATTTATATTTATGTTCAATAATCAATTTGGTGTGGTTGAACTGATACATAACTTAGTCTCCATGGAACCAACCAAGTTGTGTCAAATTTTTTTACTATTTTAAGTATCACCTAAAAGTAATTCTATCAACTTGGGAAATACCCTAATTCAATCACCCGATTGATCCGAAGAAATTTTCTTATTTTATTTAAATATATTTAAATTTATGAAATAAAAATATTTTATGATTCATATAATAAATGTCTACACCAAATGAGTATATTAAGATTATAAATTATATATCTATAGATGAATTAATTATTTTTATTTTATGCATATTAATAAAAAATAAACACAGTAATTTTTAAAAAATTAAGAGTAATTGATTGATTATGCAATTAAAGAATATTGTTTGCGATCAATATTTTTTTAAAGTCACAAATATAAAGACCGAGACTCATATTTTGAATTGAGATTTCATAAATATAGAGACCGAGATTTTAATATTATTCGTTGTTTTTAAGAAAAAAAATAAAAATAAAAACATACACACTTAATAAATTTTAGCCAGATTTTTTAAATAATAAAATAAATTAAAGCCCGAAATTTAATGTAGCATTTAATGTTGTATGATTTTTAAGGAAAAAAATAAGAAAATAATAAAACTTACTATTTATAGACTGCATTAAATTCTGACCTATTATTTTGTTACTATTTTTAATAAATGATAATTCTTATTACATATACATAGATTCCTTCCTTCTCTGTTAGTTTAAACCCGAATTCTTCGTGCGTATAGTTGAATTTTAATTCCATTAACTCATCTATGTGCGGAACAAATTCTGCAACTTATTTAGTACATAAAGTTCCACCATGATTAACCCAGCGGATTAGCGGAATACCAAAACAATTTCTTTTGGTATTCGAGGCGAAACTCTGTAATTAAAATTACTTGACGTAAATGTTATTGTGTGGGACGATCAAATAAATCCCACAAAAAGTTACTTATATGTAAGCGCGAATATTAACGTGTGATATCAAACTATCAAACCTTCGACAAAAAGTATTCAAATTGATGTTCGTTACATTTATCTCCAAAAATTTCAATTTGAAGAAAAGTCATTTTTAATAAATTAATCAAATGAATAATATAATAATATAAATTCGTAATTCACATATTTATCCGCTACAAATCAGTTCTATGATGTGAAACCGAGATCAATTCTAAGTCGACAAACCAATTTCTGTATATAGGCTACGTGGCTCAATCTAAAGAACACCGACATGTAGTTGTGGAATGCCACAAAGTTTTGCCAAAAACCCACGTGTCCTACACGTTACATATATTAATTGGACTATTTGACAATTTTCCAAAGTCTTCAAATAAATTAGTCAAACACTAAAATTAATGAGTGAAATGAATGTGACCACCTAAAGGTCTGGGCGTATCTGGCAAGCTCCAACAGGTGAGCAAACCAAATTGGCCAGGTTAAGTTCACATTAATTTATAAATTATTAGATATTAATAATTATGCAATAATATGACTATTGACAGAATATAATTCAGAGATCAATTAGTTTAGATCAGATTTAAAAGGGTGTCTTTTTTCTTTGCAGTTTAATTTACGTTTTTGAGGTTAAAATTGGGCCAAGGTAGTTTGACATGATTGGCTGCCTGCGGGCCGAAGTTCAACAGATCAAAATGAAGATGAATAGCTGTTAAAATGGGCTAAGGCCCGTTTGGATACCTGCCTATCAGGGAAAATAAAAATGGATTTGATTACAATTTATTGGCCTGTTTAAGGAATGCCTAAATAGACGGACTTGCTCAAACAAAACAAATAGTGATTATTTTGCCTCCTATAATTAGTCCAACTCAAAGCTCGCTCGAGCTGTACTGGACTCGAGCTCGAGTTGGACCGAATTCAAATCGAGCTTGAGCCCATAATTTGCATTGTCGAACGACTCGAGATATATGTTGAATTATTAAAATACCCTTTATATATATATTACAATAATATAACATATGTGTTTAATGGTAATTTTATTTTTTCACTTAAAAATTTTCGCGCCGAGCTCGAGCTATAACAACAAATTTCGTGTATTGAATTTATAAACACGAAAAATATTATTCAAATGAATTTCTCGAATCAAAATAAATATAGCGGGTTACAATCTCTACTACTCTTCTGATTCTTCTCACGAACGATTTTAAGTCTTGGATTTAAATTTTGGCTTGATCTTCTCCTTCACTTGATTTGACTTGAATTAACGTTAATCCAAGGTCCAACGACTTGATTCCGAATCAAACGCCGTTATATCCCAAGAACACGAATAACACGAATCCTTGATCTTCGTCGCAAAGTAGATCTTGAATTTTCTCCACGCCGACTTTGAGTTTAATAACGTTATTCGGAGGCTTTGCAGTTTGTTTCCGGATTAAACGTCAGTCTTGAGGTTGATCGTGCTTGAATCTTGCTTCAAATCTTCAAGAACGCCTTTGAATCTTCAAGAACACTTGAATCTCGTCGAGAGAATTCTGTAGAGCTCTTGAACTTGAATATGAATTATGATGTGTCTCTTTGGCTTTAGGGAGAGACTCTATTTATAGGTGTAGGAGAGACAACCCTACCAAATTTAAGAATCGTAGGACGCGATTTGATTGGTCCATGATGATTCACATAATATCTTTTAGATCTACTTAGATCTCCTAAGATCTTCTAGAAGACATGTGATTTATTACCAAGAATTAAGATTTGACACTTGGCAATATTTGATTGGTCAAGAATTAAAATATTAAAATATCAATTAATTAACTATTTAATTTTAAGAATTAAATATATGGAAATTCCTAAAATATAAATAGAAAATATGTCTTGATTTTCAATAAATTAATTTCCACTTGGCGCCATTTGATTGGCCACAAATTTTATGCATCTACACGAGCGATTGTACTTTTTTATCAAGTCGAGCTCAAGCAGGCCAATGCTCGACTCGACTCGACTCGTTTGCAGCCTTAGGTGTATACATGATTATGCACTAAAGATTCTCTTAAAAATCTTTATTGATTTAACAAGATTGTATATATAATATATTAATATTTCAGGTTATATTTTTATTTTTATTTTTAGGGAATTTCATTTCTATTATCCACTTATATATAATTATAAAATGAGCCAAATTTAAGTAGCAGCTTCGCATGCTTCGTAATCTTATGTGGCAAAATATAACGGTTTCTAATATGACTCGAATAAAAATTACTAATTTTTTTATACCAACTAATATAGGTTTGGATTGCAATAAAGATTAAAAGTTATCTATAAATTTATTACATATAAATTAAAAATAATAATTATAATATAATATGGGCAAATCAAACAAGTGAAAAGTCTTATTTTAAATATAAATATTAATTCAAATTTTTTAAAGTATTTAGAACTTAAATAAAAAGGAACTTGTTTCTTACATTGTGTAAGAATTTCAGCATAATTTTTTAACTAGTCCCGTATAATCACCGGTGCTATACTATTTTTTATTAATATCAAATAAAAAAGAACTTGTCTCTTACGTTTTCAAGAACTTCAGTAGTACCCATATAATCACGGGTGTTATATCAGTACTAGTACGAATCCCGTGCGATGCACGAGTAAGAAATATTCATTAATATTTATAAATTACAAATGGTCATTAAATAATATTTATTAAATTAGAAATATAGAATCAATATATAATACATTTACCTATATTAATTTGTTGAAAATGTTATATAAAATTTAAATTGTGCAAAATTATATAAAACATATCTATTTAAAATTAGTACACGACTCGCACATTGAAAATGTAAAATTTTATGGTCTAATCTTACAAATGTAAATTTTTATGGTCTAATTATTTTCTTAATTATTCACGATTTGAGCAAATAAATACACAAAAAATCAATAATATTTATTAAATAATATTTAAATAACAATTATCATTAACACAATTTTTTAGAACGGTTTTTTGCAAACTGCATAATTAATTACTGTTGTCGATATTTCTATGATTGTAGTAATTATTTACAACTTGAATAAATCAATCGGATTTACGTAACTAAGGTATATTAAAAATGTATTTCACAAAAGAATTACACAAAAAATATAAAATAATTAGATTTTTTTTTTTACCAAATCACATAATTTATTGCATCCGAAATTCCCATATTTGGGTAAATCAGTCAATTCACATGATTTCAGTAATTAAGGGATCTTAAAAATGAATTTACCATAAGTGATTATTTGAAATATATCATAAATTGTTAAATTAATTAATTTGAGTAGTTAAGGTATCTTAAAAATGTATTTTTTTATATGACAACTATTTCCTTAAATAGTGAGCCGCAATTTCCATAACTGATTATTTAAAATATACCATAAATTGTTAAATTAATTTCTCAAAATAGTAAATATATTTTTTTTTGGAGAGAAATAGTTATTATTTAAAAAATAATCAAACTTTTATATATATATAGATTTATTAATATAAGATCTATTACATACATAAAATAAAATAAAGGCCATATTTAAATTACATGGGGCTTGAAATGTGTTACATAGCATATATATATCTGAGTCATAGCCAAAACCAAAGTGATGAAACCCCGAAAGTAGGGCAAAAAGATGCATATTCCCAATCTCCCAAATTCCTAACAAGTAACAAGAACATACAAGAAAATAGAGGTTTTCTAGCTCAAAAACAAAGATTTACAAACCAAAAACAAAAATAAAGAAGAAAATGAAAGGAAAAATTTTAAGTGGAAGCGAAAAAAAACAAGATATATATATGTACTATATATATATATATATCCATTGAGCTAGAGCAGCTTCGTCTTCTTGATTGATCAACAATACCTCTTTACTCATTACATATATAATCATGCCTTCACAAAATCAGGATCTTCAAGAACAAGATGAAGAAACAAAAACCATTATTCCGAAATGGAAATAGTTAACCATATTAGCTAGTCATGCGCAGCCCAAAATCCGAGTGTTTTCACACTTGACGTTAAGCAGCATTTTGCCGGCCATTATCCTGCAATTTACATTTACTCGACCCGGTTAAAAATGCGCATTTTTATATCGATGAATTAATAATTTAACCATGTTAGTTTTCATTTTGTACACCATTACAAATTACATATGCATCCACAAATTTCATAGAGATAACACATATATATATATATATATATATATATATATA